CGGGTGGCTATATTACAACAGAAAAACTTCAAAAACAGACTCCAACGAGAGACTGCTGAGCTGGAATTGATATGCAAACTAGATACAATCAACTCAGGAGTGAATAAGGACTGGGAATGGCTGAGCCATTACAAACATTGAATCTATCTCCCCTTGTAAGTATTCTCACACTTCTTATCAAACTTTCTGTACTGGGCTATCTTGATTATCACTTCAAAAGTTTTTTTCTCTTACTTAATTGGCCTCTCAGAGTTGGTAAGACAACTCCCACCTGTTCATGCTCTCTGTATGTGTGTATATATATCTCCTCAATATATGTTCCACTCTATATGCATCCGAAGAAGTGGGCTGTAGTACACAAAAGCTTATGCTCTAATAAATTTGTTAGTCTCTAAGGTGCCACAAGTACTCCTGTTCTTTTTGCGGATACAGACTAACACAGCTGCTACTCTGAAATTTGTTCTGTCTGTTATTACTTGAAACCACGTAAATCCTACTTTTTATACTTAATAAAAATCACTTTTGCTTATTAATTAATCCAGAGTAATTAATTAATACCTGGGGGAGCAAACAGCTGTGCATATCTCTCTATCAGTGTTATAGAGGGTGGACAATGTCTGAGTTTACCCTGGATAAGCTTTATACAGCTCCATGTGTTAATGTATTAATTATAGGTGTTAACCTGCTTAATCTTGGTTTTTCTTTTTAAATTCTTTATTTACTTCCCTGCCATTGAGTCACAGCTCCTGTCTCCTAATGTGCTCTGTGAACCATTCCATTTTTAACTTCATCTGATTTATCAATTCAGTGACAGTATTGTTTGCTACTTTCCCGTCCAGACTTCCAGTGAACCACCCAATGACCACAGACTCCGATAAGGTACGAAGGCACCCGGCCAGGTTTCTTGCCAAACTAAACACAGTCTCTAGGCCCCCAGATCAGATGTCTACAGTTTTACTAGTACATATGTGCTCCCTGACAATGGACCGGCTCAGTCAGTGGCGGGATTTACCCCTGCCCCCTAGGCCAGATAAAGACACCTCCTCAGGGGTGCATTCTTATATACATGTACAAAGAAGTTACACATCACTCCTGACGTATTGAGGTACAACCCCTCTATGTGTTAGGGTGTCGCCTCTCACCTGGTACATGTTGGTTCGAACAAAACAATTCTACCCATCATATTATCCTTTTGACCCTGTCTTTGGGATGGGTCAGCATGTTCCTTGTTATCTGTGTGGAATGTACTAGTATCAGAGTGTTCTTGGTACCATCCTGGCACATGTTTATATCTCTAGCGTCCAGTAACTTTTAGGTATATATGTTTTTGCAACACCAGCCCTCTCCTTGCCAGACTATGAGCAGGGCCTGCCTCTTGCTCACAGTTTAATTTTGCTTTATGTAAACAAAGTCTTGACCATTACTTTAGTTCAGGCCTTTGGCCTCATACCGGGCCTCTGATACAAGGGTTTATGTTTCAGGGCCTCATCTTACTACATTTGAGTGGGTGTGTGTGTTGAAATAAATGTTTACCAACACTTACTGATTAAAAATCTAATCCTTCCAAACCTAATTATAACACTCTCTCCCATAGCATGGGTTTGGAGGGTTAGGGGCAAGATGCTAACATTTGCCAGCAGAAGGCATCTTAGCTCCAAAGGCAATCAGAGTCTTGATAAAGCCAAGTATCAGAGGGGTAGCCGTGTTAGTCTGAATCTGTAAAAAGCAGCAGAGGGTCCTGTGGCACCTTTGAGACTAACAGAAGTACTGGGAGCATAAGCTTTCGTGGGTAAGAACCTCACTTCTTCAGATGC